AATTCCAATAAAGACGAGCAATTAAATATAACACGGATGAGAATTCTACAATTCTCTTTAGAGCGTGGTCCACTTTATAACGGAGGAATATAATTGAAGCTGTGAAAGTTGCATAAAACTCAGTATAGGAAAATATGCAGATGGTCAACTACATGTGGAAGCGATTACATATATTCCTACTCCAACACTGTATAGGAAACTCCTGAGCTCAGGTGAGGAAAGCGATTACATATATTCCTACTCCAACACTGTATAGGAAACTCCTGAGCTCAGGTGAGGAAAGCGATTACATATATTCCTACTCCAACACTGTATAGGAAACTCCTGCTGAGCTCAGGTGAGGAAAGCGATTACATATATTCCTACTCCAACACTGTATAGGAAACTCCTGAGCTCAGGTGCTGAGGAAAGCGATCACATATACTCCTACTCCAACACTGTATAGGAAACTCCTGAGCTCAGGTGCTGAGGAAAGCGATTACATATATTCCTACTCCAACACTGTATAGGAAACTCCTGAGCTCAGGTGAGGAAAGCGATTACATATATTCCTACTCCAACACTGTATAGGAAACTCCTGAGCTCAGGTGGTGAGGAAAGCGATTACATATATTCCTACTCCAACACTGTATAGGAAACTCCTGAGCTCAGGTGCTGAGGAAAGCGATTACATATATTCCTACTCCAACACTGTATAGGAAACTCCTGAGCTCAGGTGGTGAGGAAAGCGATTACATATATTCCTACTCCAACACTGTATAGGAAACTCCTGAGCTCAGGTGCTGAGGAAAGCGATTACATATATTCCTACTCCAACACTGTATAGGAAACTCCTGAGCTCAGGTGCTGAGGAAAGCGATTACATATATTCCTACTCCAACACTGTATAGGAAACTCCTGAGCTCAGCTGATGAGGAAAGCGATTACATATATTCCTACTCCAACACTGTATAGGAAACTCCTGAGCTTAGGTGAGGAAAGCGATTACATATATTCCTACTCCAACACTGTATAGGAAACTCCTGAGCTCAGGTGGTGAGGAAAGCGATTACATATATTCCTACTCCAACACTGTATAGGAAACTCCTGAGCTCAGCTGATGAGGAAAGCGATTACATATATTCCTACTCCAACACTGTATAGGAAACTCCTGAGCTTAGGTGAGGAAAGCGATTACATATATTCCTACTCCAACACTGTATAGGAAACTCCTGAGCTCAGCTGAGGAAAGCGATTACATATAGTCCTACTCCAACACTGTATAGGAAACTCCTGAGCTCAGGTGAGGAAAGCGATTACATATATTCCTACTCCAACACTGTATAGGAAACTCCTGAGCTCAGCTGAGGAAAGCGATTACATATAGTCCTACTCCAACACTGTATAGGGAACTCCTGAGCTCAGGTGAGGAGAGCGATTACATATATTCCTACTCCAACACTGTATAGGAAACTCCTGAGCTCAGCTGCTGAGGAAAGCGATTGCATATATTCCTACTCCAACACTGTATAGGAAACTCCTGAGCTCAGGTGCTGAGGAAAGCGATTGCATATATTCCTACTCCAACACTGTATAGGAAACTCCTGAGCTCAGCTGAGGAAAGCGATTACATATAGTCCTACTCCAACACTGTATAGGGAACTCCTGAGCTCAGGTGAGGAGAGCGATTACATATATTCCTACTCCAACACTGTATAGGAAACTCCTGAGCTCAGCTGCTGAGGAAAGCGATTGCATATATTCCTACTCCAACACTGTATAGGAAACTCCTGAGCTCAGGTGCTGAGGAAAGCGATTGCATATATTCCTACTCCAACACTGTATAGGAAACTCCTGAGCTCAGGTGAGGAAAGCGATTACATATATTCCTACTCCAACACTGTATAGGAAACTCCTGAGCTCAGCTGAGGAAAGCGATTACATATATTCCTACTCCAACACTGTATAGGAAACTCCTGAGCTCAGGTGCTGAGGAAAGCGATTACATAAATTCCTACTCCAACACTGTATAGGAAACTCCTGAGCTCAGGTGCTGAGGAAAGCGATTACATATATTCCTACTCCAACACTGTATAGGAAACTCCTGAGCTCAGGTGCTGAGGAAAGCGATTACATATATTCCTACTCCAACACTGTATAGGAAACTCCTGAGCTCAGGTGCTGAGGAAAGCGATTACATATATTCCTACTCCAACACTGTATAGGAAACTCCTGAGCTCAGGTGCTGAGGAAAGCGATTACATATATTCCTACTCCAACACTGTATAGGAAACTCCTGAGCTCAGGTGTGAGGAAAGCGATTACATATATTCCTACTCCAACACTGTATAGGGATCGAAGCGATGTAGCGTACCACTCTCGTGTAGGGTGATTTACAAAATCCAAGGAAGAACGACAAAATCCAAGGAGGTTTGTCGCGCCCTCTCAGCAGTTCGGGTTTCTGGTTGCCTTTGGTAGTAACAGCTTTCATCTGTATAACAGTTCGGGTTTCTGGTTGCCTTTGGTAGTAACAGCTTCCATCTGTATAACAGTTCGGGTTTCTGGTTGCCTTTGGTAGTAACAGCTTCCATCTGTATAACAGTTCGGGTTTCTGGTTGCCTTTGGTAGTAACAGCTTCCATCTGTATAACAGTTCGGGTTTCTGGTTGCCTTTGGTAGTAACAGCTTCTATCTGTATAACAGTTCGGGTTTCTGGTTGCCTTTGGTAGTAACAGCTTCCATCTGTATAACAGTTCGGGTTTCTGGTTGCCTTTGGTAACAGCTTCCATCTGTATAGCAGTTCGGGTTTCTGGTTGCCTTTGGTAGTAACAGCTTCCATCTGTATAACAGTTCGGGTTTCTGGTTGCCTTTGGTAGTAACAGCTTCCATCTGTATAACAGTTCGGGTTTCTGGTTGCCTTTTGTAGTAACAGCTTCCATCTGTATAACAGTTCGGGTTTCTGGTTGCCTTTGGTAGTAACAGCTTCCATCTGTATAACAGTTCGGGTTTCTGGTTGCCTTTGGTAGTAACAGCTTCCATCTGTATAACAGTTCGGGTTTCTGATTGCCTTTGGTAGTAACAGCTTCCATCTGTATAACAGTTCGGGTTTCTGGTTGCCTTTGGTAGTAACAGCTTCCATCTGTATAACAGTTCGGGTTTCTGGTTGCCTTGTCGGGTTTCGGGTTTACCCTTCAACTTGGATTTTGTATATCACCCCTGTAGTGTACCTCTTCGAATGCATGTGACATTTCATATTTTCCCCCGTATTATGTCCAAAACAGTAAATTCTCCAACTCCCGAGCAGCTGTTCATACCAGTGGGAGATTCCCCATCATCATCATCATCATCACCAACATTTTCCCATTTCTTCGATTGCCCTCCAGAAGTAGAGCTTAAGGAAAAATCGAAAGTAGCGTCACTCGCCACGAAATTATTTTGCCGAGTTTTTTTTCTTCTCAGAGAGTTCAACACAAACCCCGAGGAGTTTCCTGCATTCCGAAGTTGAATTGTATGGAGAAAACTAAACGTATATTGTGCACGCAATGGGTATCTCCGGAGAGCTATTCATGAAACATTTAATACCCTATCGTGTTTGTCAATTTACAAGTGACCTCATCTATTTATATGGATGATAAAAATGTG